ATCTCTTCTCTGCCATGAAAAGCTCAAAGCATAAGTCCTGTCTTTGCACCATAATCATAGGGGCCAGTATATCTTCGGGACCATCTCTTCCCATATGAGCCCTATGGGAACTTACGATCTATTAATCAACACCTCCTGGTGGTTCGCGGCCCCAGGGAACTCAGACTCGTCTCAATGAGGGACAGGGCTTTTTTGGCCCCAGCCCCTACCTGGTAGAATGAGCTCCCATTAGAAATTAGGGCCCTGCAGCCTGGCTTTCAGGTGAGGCAGCGGGCGCCCACCTGCTATTGGCCTCCCCGCCCACTTGCTCTTGGCCTCAGATCCGAATGGTCACCTGGGAGCCAACTGCTTCTTGCTGCGATCTGTCAAGGCACCTGTCTTTCATTAATTACTGTTTTTAGATATATTTTAACTGTTAATTTGTTGTATTGTGAATTTTATGATGGAACCCGCCCTGAGCCCACTTGCAGGGAGGGTGGAATACAAATCGAATTAAATAAATAAATATAAGACTACGGGGCTCTCACACAACTCTCTTAAGAGGTATTACGTAGATATTAAGAAAACAGCAGCCTGAATAGCCCAGTTTAGCCTGAGCTCATCAGATCTTGGACACTAAGCAGGGTCAGCCATGTTTAATACTTGGATGGGAGACCACCAAGGACGATTGTGGTCACTACACAGACAAAGGCAATGGCAAACCACCTCTGATCCTCTCTTGCTTGGAATACCGTCACTGAGGGTCACTTGCACCTCGGAGACAAATTCTTCTGCTGAAAACACACTGTGACGGAATTGACTGAAGAAAATCATACCCGTTTTCAAAATTCTATTACAATGTGTTTATACAAAGTACAGATTTCCATATGTATTTACACACAGTTACAGATTAGCAAGTATGTCAACACCAATTTGTATGGATTTTAGAAAGGTGCCGGATTGAATGCCAGAAGGTAGGAAGACTTCTACTTGTCCAAAGCAAAGGAATAGCAGCAATAAAAGCTTCCATACCCACCACAACGCACTCTTCTTGTAACCAAATAATCCAAATAAGAAATTGCCTTGTGTTGGGGGGGGGGGGTTAAAAATTGCTCCACCTTGCACACCAGGAAATTCTAGGAATGATGCAAGCCTGGAATTCCACTAAGTGTGGAGCTTTCTTCCAAACCACAGCTCCTTCCTCTTGAGCAAGACCTGGGAAATTGTAGAATGACCCAAAGAATGACATGTGTAAGTTACTTAAAACAATGGTTTTTACAGATCTGACCAAATTTTTATTTGATAGCAATATGAATGGCTCTGTAGAGAGCTGCCATGTGTTGGACCATCCATATGCAAGATGATGTCTATAATCATTCTGTTGTCTGCAACAATTCCATTATCTACAAAAATTCAGTAGGTATACACACCACTATGGGTTGTTTGAATAAATTGGTTATAGTTTATTGTATCAACTGCCATAAATTCATAACATTTTTCTTGCTTATTTTAGTCCTTTCTTTAAAAAATACAAAAAAAATAAATTAAATAAAAAACACATTAATATTAATGATCTGTCTATGATCAAAAATACCAGCAAATTCCACATTAAGGCTAAATAGTATTGTCTCATTATTCTGGTCAGTTCACGGCAAGGTTGACCTTGGTTATGAGTGTCCTTAACATTTTTGTGGACTTAGTGCAAATGCAGATACTTATTGCTACTTGAATCCACCTTGATACGATTTATATATAAATTCATGCTTTTACTGCTGGAAATCGAAACACATTATTGAAGTCCTTTAACATCATTCTTTTTTTCATTTAGAACAGAGAAGATAAATCATCCTCTGGTCTAAATTATCAAAAACACAGTTGTAAAAAGTAGTTCACAATTTAAGCAGTCCTTGGAGGAGCATGGACTTATTCCAGTGAAAGTGGTTTTAACAATTATAGTCCTGTAGCAGACCTGGACAACTTGTGACCAAGCTGAACACAGAGTACTGCTCACCATGGATTATGGCCCACCAGATTCCCAGCAGCTTCCTGTTTCTGCAGTCACAGACACACAGCAAAGAAAGGAGGCTTATCAAACTGAGAGTGGACCACCATACATGGTTGTTGGCCTTTTTGGTAGGTCACAAATTGTACAGTCTTATCCCATGGTTCTGTTAAAATGCTACCAGCCTTCACGTCTATTTTAATAGTGGTGTAAAGGTTAAAAATAAACAACAACTAGCCATTTGGGCAAGCTCTAATAAAGCCAGATAAACCTCTTAATAACAAAGCCCTGATCAACAATTAACCTAATTGTTAAATCCAGCCCATTTATATTGTTTTTAAGGCAGAAATGTCCTGCCAATTAGATGTTCCCATGGAATAAATCTAGCTGTTCTTTATTCATTTTAAAAGCTCTAGTCCAAGCCTAATAAATTATCATAAATTCACAATGTCTGGCTTATATGACCAACTGGGAAGAGTTCTTGATTTTAACACTTGTTCTGATCTCTTTCAGGAGCAGTTCACACATTATGATGCTCAGCCATTTCAGCTGTTACAAATGAGTGGACAATTCTTATCAGTGTAACATAGCTGTTTTTATCTTATCACATTTAAAAAGTACCCAGAGGTGGGTACTATGAATTAGCTAGCACTAAGGACAGAGCTATACGTTATGTTTGACACAGGGCTGCTGCTAAAAACAGCCATGTGTTGAGTTCTCTACCTCTCTCAAAATGTTCAAGCTCACTCATGTCATCACATTAACTCCACCCTACAGCGCTGGCTGCTACTAGTGGGAGCAGCCCTGTGTGGAACATAATATAGAATTCTCTCATAAAACTGAATTATGTGAATGCACCCTACAAAACTTACTATTTTATCATGTTTTTTCCAATGGACTATTGTGCAACCAAAGGAGTACAGAGCTCATTTCAAACTTCAACACATTTCCTATGCATCAGGGTCCAGTCTTACTCAAGATAGGGTCAAGCTTCAATCAGAACTGGGTATTTTTCCTGTGAGACCACAACTCTCAACTCACCTAACTCCACAGAAAGTGGCTTATGAGTGCCACATAATGGATACCAGCCCTATCCCTTCAGTTATTTTAACCATTGGCTGCAGACCAAAGAATCACACATTGCTAAACATGGAGGCAGTCAAGCACAACATTCTAAATTAGAATCCAAGTAACACCCAAAGCCATGTTGAACAGACTGCATTAGTCCACAGTCTCATGCATTTCCTCTGTACAATTCCATATATTTTATTTGAAACAGCACACCAAGTACACCGGACCACAGTCATTGTCAGTATTGTTGCCTGCTCTGTTGTTCTGAGGGGTTTGTGAAAGTCTCCTCTCTAAGGACAGATTCCAGAATTATAACCACTACTGTGTTTGCATTTACTATATTATGTAATCCTAATGACATAGATTATGCAGTGGAGTCTGCAGCATATACTTTGAAAGGTAACTTCAGGAAATAAAACGAGTATAGTACTTTCCCCCTCATTGAAATTCTCAATAGAGATTTATTAGTTTCATTTTGCAAGAGTCTTACTTTAAGGAGGGTGCTAATATGTATTATGACAGTTCACATCGAAAGCAATTCTTTCCATAAAAAGATGGTACAATAATAACCCCTATGGAACTTGTATAATTTCAGAGTAGATAGTCAAGTGCACAATTAAACAAGTTTACAAGAGTGAACCCTGGCCTCTTGTTCTAGTTGTGAGAACCTTAATTAGTACAAAATGTCAATATTAGGATGTGCCTGGCATTCTGCTTAAATAAAAAGAGCGTATTTATCATGTAGCTTTGGTATAATCTGCAGTAGGTTTTAACGAGTAGAGTATATACCAACTCCTGTTTTCATTTTCTTCTTTTCGTCCACAACTGTGAAGTTTACAAAGATGGAAATAAGTCACTTATCAAAGAGGAAATATTACAGACACAGAATTAAAGTTTTGAAGACCCAGTTTTATCTTTAATCCTCGGGGAGGGGAGGAAGGGGGGGGGAGTTTAAGCTATGAAACAAGCAGTCAGAAGAGTGAGCACTCATTGTTGTGATTGGTGTGCATACTTTTACAATAACATGGGCACAAAAGAGATTGTCGCCTTCGATACATTAGGATCACCAGATTTTCCTCAGTCTCCATGCACCTTGATGCTTGACTTGCATGAGATTTTTTCCTCCTCCTTATCACAGGTTCATCGCGGCCCTTGCCGTTGAAATGTTATCACAGAGCCTAAAGCTTCCAAACTGCCTATCTGGCCTGTACACATATTTCATTAAAAATAAACTCTATATAGAATAAATAAATATATAAAATAAATAAAATGTTGCCTTTGGAATTTCTATAAATAAATTTAACTTTTATTTATTTTTTATTTTTATTATTTTTTTTAAATCTTTTCTTATTTTACTTAGAGGTCCTTGCTTTAAACTCAGTGAGGGGGTGACTCCCACTTGAGCGGTCAAACTGAACCAAAAGAAGCCTCTCTTTTTCTTGTTGTTGTTGTTGTTATAAGTAAGATTGTACTCTCCTCCATGCCTTTTTCTTTTTGTAAAAAAAAAAAAAAAGCAGCATACACTTGAGCAGGCCACCAGCCAAAATTCCTGATGAGACAAAGTATGGCAGCTATGCTGATATAGGATGAAGTACAACGGATCAAAAAATTTAAAAGCGTCTCTATTTCCCAGCATGCATCAGGCCTTCCCCCCCCTTCCTTCTTGCTTCAGCTCTCTTTCATCCTTTCGTTCACTCTCACACATTCTCACTCTCTTCCTTCCTTCTCTCGCAATAAAATCAAGCAAGTGGGCACAGGCTCTCCTCCAGGAAGACAAACCCTTTTAAGTGCAGAGCAAAATCAGCATTTTCCATCCAAGCCTCCATCATACATTATGCATGCGACAAAAGTTTGGCAACAGTGGAGCTGATGTGATGACACAGCTAATCAATTAAGAACCCACCGCATGAAACCTTTATAGTGGTTACTTTTTTTTTTTTAAGGGCTCAAGTGAAGGAAACGTCTTTGTCAACTTTGGCTTAAAATATCCTTATATAGTTCAGGGACTTTCTCGGGGTCCACTGGTCTAGGTAAAAAATGTGTGAACTTTTGATGCCGTTTAGTCCTAGTCCCTTCTCTTGGAGTCCCGTCTTTATTTAATGCAACGTAATATCGTCTTCCAGTGTCCACATGTTTATATAGGTTCGATGAATATGTGTTATACCAGTTCTCTTCAAATTGTTCTCTGAACACACACTCCTGGGTTAACTTTTCCTGTGAGAAGAAAAAGAGAAAAAAGTAGTAAGAAACTAGTCCGAAAAATAAAAACTTTCCCAAGCACCAACAAGTAAAACTAGGGTTTCCATCTGTCCAGCTGAAGTCCTTATTTAATTATCAATAGCACCTCAGTTCTAACTCAGATTAGACTGGTTCATATATAATGCAGGAGATCCCCCACAGTGTGATGTCACTTCCTGGAACCCCCCTGAAGTGATATTAGTTCTCTTTAGGAATCACCAGCAACTCAATGGTTTTATTATAGTGTTTCCAGCAATTTCTAGAGAGGTGTGACTTTACTTATTGGTTTTTCCTGGAAGTGACATCACACTGTTCCCAGTGGTGCCCCCCCCCATGTCTCCACCTCACACAGTCTCCTGCTGATTGCCAGGCAGTACCTGACAACCTTAATGACAAAACATGGTTTGATGCTGCAAAAAGAAACAAGCCCTGTGCTGGTGCACACTCTGTGGCCCTTCTCTCTTCATCTAACATCCATCAGCTCAATGAGTTAATTCCTCTTATGAGGAATCATAGCTTCCAAACTGGTAAACTATGGTTTAAATTTGCCAGCAATATGAACCAGGTTCACGCCATAGTTTCTTGTTTGGATGTAATTGCAAATTTTGGTTTGCACTAAACAGGAAGGAACTAATTGAACTGGACCATGCATTAGGAGGAGAGAACATGCAAGCAAAGTACTACTTTCCATAGTACCAAACCAGGGTTGCCTCACATGTGAACAGAGTAACAATTGTAACAAACAAATAAATACGCCCATACATATTAGAGGCACTCATATAAAATAGAGAGGCATCTTGCCCTGACCTGGATAGCTCAGGCAAGCCTGATCTTGTCAGATCTCAGAAGCTAAGCAGGGCCGACCCTGGCAAGTACTTGGAAAGGAGACCTCCAAGGAATACCAGGACTTGGACCAGTGTTCCCTCTAAGATGAGTTAGTGTGAGCTACCTCACAGTTTTTTAGCCACTGGCTCACACATTTTTGTCTTAGCTCAGGAAGGATGGCTCCAGAGCAAACTAATTTATGCAGTAGCCAAATTGCTCGCTCACAACTTTAATGCCAGTAGCTCACAAAGTCGAACTTTTGCAAGGCCAGCAGGAGTGCAAGGAAACCCCGCGAAGGCCCTCCCTGGCCCCAGGCAGGCAGGGGTGGGGAGAAGCAGGGAGGAAGCAACTTACCCTCCCTCTTCTCCTGCCTCCTCCTGGCTGAATGAGGGCCGGAAGCGGGCCGGCCGGAAGCAGGGGGCGGGGCTTCGTCATGTGCCCCGCCCCCATACCTCACCTGAGGGAACTGCGATCCCCCCCGAAATGACCTCTGGTTGCAGATACTACAAATATAGAGCACAACCATATTGTGTTTTCCTGGAAGCCACCAGCAGTACAGGTGTGAAGGAGGAACTGCACCATTTAGTTATTTTACAGTGCAATCCTATGCAGAGTTACGGCAGTCTATCCCCATTGAATTCAATGAACTTAGATTAGAGCTACCCTGCACAGGATTGCACTGTTAGCCATTCACTCTCTTCTAAAGCAACATCTTAAACCAAAGCCCACAGCATGAAAGCATCAATGATTAAAGTAAAACTACATGGAACTCTTTGAATCATTAAGCAATAGCCACTGAAGCCCTTGAAAAATTTAAAAAAACAACCCTTTTTAAAGAGGAACTTGCAGTAGGAAGAAAAGTTCTTTAAGAAAGACAGAATACTCTGTCTCCACTCCACATAATTAGATTTAAGAATAAATGCTGTCAAAGTTGGAAACGCTTGCACAGCCAAAGGTTCAATAAAGGAAAGGCATCAGTTTGTATCTTGAGTAAAAATGCTGTTGCATTCTACACTTATACGTCTGAAATTATAAGACTGCCACTTGGCAAATAAATGCATCCTGGGAAGAAATCTAGCTTTAACAGCTTTTTTAAAAATTGGGTTTCCTCTGAGTGCAAAATATTGGTATTATTTCAAGAAAGGAAAGGAAGAAAATGCTTTTTATAACTGCTCAAATGTCACTGGCTCTAATCCTGTACTATTTCTTAATGATGGTGGGGGTGTGATGCAGCTAAAGGATGAAATAAATGTGGCATCAGCTACAGGTGAAGTTCATTCTGCTCATGCCCTGTCCTGTGTATAAACACATTTGTCATGTCAACCTGCCCATTTAGCCTGAGAGCGATCAGTGGCCTGGAGGTAGGAATGCCAGCCTCCAGGTGGGACCTGGGGATCCCCCAGAATTACTGCTCATCTCCAGACTACAGAGATCAGTTCCCCTAGGGAAAATAGAGGGTGGACTCTGTGGCACTGTACTCCACTGAAGTCCCTTTCTTTTTCAGGCTCCATCCCCAAATCTCCAGGAGTTTCCCAACCTGGATTTGGCAACCCTACCCTCATCCCCAACCAGTGGCCACTGGGAACCTGGCAACCCTATCTGGAGGGTATGATGCTAATTCTCTGTGCAAATAGTCCAGCTCACATGGTAAGGGTGGTTCTACATGATTTGGTGCTGATGGAATGCTTAGATTGACAAGTGCTTTATTCATGGCCATTGTCACATCACTTTCGGTCCAAAATCTCATGCAGAATCAATATCAATGGATTTGCACATTGAGGGTGAAACAATTTTACTGAATTCAGCCCCAGCCCCCCCCCCCCCCCGGGGAAGGGCTCAATGCGTTCTAATAGCATTCTTTAGCTTATCTACAGAGAAGAATACAGGCAGCTTTGTAATCAATGCTTTCTTTATAGTTGTTGAATAGTCTTTAAATGCAGCTCTTGTTGTCTTAACGTTTTCTGAGCAATTTTAAAAAAATTACTTTGTGTTCTTTCAATCGCAAAAGCAGATGCTGAATAGTGTATGCAGAGCTCTAGCTTAGAAGCAAGACAAGAAACTCATTTAAATTAAGTTTTTCTGCTCTTCAGGCAAATCAGATCACACAAATACGCACTGCAGAACTGCTGGCTGCTTAAGAGAGAGATCTGCTTAAAAATGTCATGTCATTCTTTCCTGAATCAGTTAATTATACACTTCATCAACATTTCATAAATACGAATAAAGAGTCATTTGAAACCACGACTTAACTTTTTCCTCTAAAAGGCTTAAATAAATTACTATAATGCTGCAGTATATCACCAGACTACAGTGAAAAGTTATAGGTTTTTTGCAAAATGAATGCACAGGCTACATAGGTAAAGGTAAAGGTTCCCTTGCTCAAAAGCCAGTCGAATCTGACTCTAGGGTTGTGGTGCTCATCTCCATTTCAAAGCTGAAGAGCCAGCGCTGTCCGAAGACGTTTCCGTGGTCATGTGGCCGGCATGACTAAACACCAAGGCACACAGAACGCTGTTACCTTCCCACTGAAGTGGTACCCACTGAAGGCTACATACTGCAGTATAATTTATTAAAGCATACTAGAAGGTGAACATCAGTGTACCAAAAAAGCCAATATTACTTACATTGTATTAGTTATTCGATGCAACTCCATAACATTTCATACAAATGAAGTTTACCAAAGTTCCATCAGTCTGGGTTCTACATTTACTGGGGAAGGAGTTACCATACACCAAACCCGTGACATATTACTAGATGTTACTCATAGGCCTACCACCTATTGCCACTGCTGCACATTCTGCACAGCTTCCCAGACTGTTTTGCTAGATGAATTGCAATAGTTGCTAGGTCTAAAGCCAGGCACCACTGGGGCTACTGTAAATGCCCCTCCCCACCATAACAGTATTGTTAAAAGGAGACAATCACATGGCCTTCAGTCTCAGATAGGACTGCAGTTTGTGAAGGGCAGGCAGGACCGGAGAACATGAGCACTGCGCAATCCAACAGGACTGTGAATTGTGCCTTCTGTGTCCCAGCCCTTCTTCCAAGTACAGAGTGACATGCATGCAGTTCCCATGTGAGCTCTCTCATACACATGATTGCACCCCAGTAGGCAAGCTAACAACTGAGCACAGACATAGATGTTTTCAAATCTTGGCTAAACTCAGACTGCTTAGAGGCAAAGACAGAGACCTCACATTATGAATTTTCAGATCATTATCCAAGTAGAGTCAGTGTAGCCCTACAGCCATAGCAGTGAACTTAGATGTGAGTTCAAAATGCCCACTTAACTATGGCTTAAGGGGAGAATTTTAGGGAACAACATTTTTGGGAGGTATCCTGATGGTTTGGGCATTAAACTATAGTGTACATGGGACTCATACAAATTTATAGTATGAGCTTGATTGATTTTGGTTATGTTTCCTACCACTGGTATTTCTTTATTTTTCTAAATTCAAAATAACACAGACAACAAAATACAGCAGAAAAGGCATCATGTCACAATATAAATACAATTAATATAAGTGTTTCATATTACAGTATTCTTAGGACTTAAAGATATGAGAATTTTCTTCTCATGCAGGGGTCATTTCCTGCAGGAGCGCACAGGAGCGGAGCTTCGGCAGTAAAGAGCCCAGGGGGCGGGCATATGCAACAAGCCCCACCCCCTGCTCCCAGCAGCCCTCAGTTAGAGCAAGCAGCAGCCAGGTAAGTTGCAGAGTTCCCACCGGCCCCCTGGTCCAAAACAGTCCAGTGGCACCTTTAAGACCAAGTTTTATTCAGGTACAAGCTCTCCCTCCTCTGCAAGGATGGATCTGCACATTCCCACCCCCCCAATAGCTAGCAATCCAAAACAGTCCAGTGGAGCCTGAGTGGTGGGTACTGGCCTCTGACACACTTCCGGTGATGTCAGGGGGTGTGGCATATGCAAATAAGTTATGCTAATTAGTTATGCTAATGAGCTCCTGCACCTCTTTTTCTACGAAATGACCCCTGTTCTCATGCATATGCTTGAGACTGACCCTGAAAGGAGGCATACAATAGAAGGGTTCAAACAAGGCATTACCATTTTTAACAGGTCAGGTCTGGGTTCCCTGAGCCAACTTACTTTCCCCACAGCCAGACAACTGCAGTGAGGAACTCATTTTTCA